AAATAATTTAGAACAAAAAAATAGCCTCTCAAACAGAATAAACTCTGCTTTCTGGAATTAATTGAAGAAAGAATATTTATAAATTATTTTTTTTAAAGTACCATTATTATTTAAATATTAAATAATGTATTAAATCACAGGCGGATCTACGGAGGAAGAGGGAGGGGAGCTTCGGGCTGAAGCCCCCTCCCAAAACGGAAAAATATAACCGTTATATGTTTTAAAGAAATATGTTTTATAGAAAAAAATATTAAAAACTATCTCTTAAAGTATTATTGTTCGTGTAATTATATTTAATAAAACTTCAAGAACCACTTAAACACTATTTCATATAGGTTAGTTAATTTCTTTCCTTTTTTTTTTTTAATTAGTTATCGTTATATATATGAAAAAAAAAAAGCTTCGGGGCTGAAGCCCCAACCAAAATTGAATCCTGAATCCGCTAGTATATTAAATATATATAATGCTTTGTTAGTAGAAAAATGACAATAATAAGAAATGCAAAAATACCATAACTGCTTTCGTTTTTTTATAATTTGTTCATAGAAGTTTATCAATTCCATTATGAGTAAACTAACCTAGGTTCTTATCAATCTTACAAATACGTTAACAAAATAACTAATATTTTGAAATTATACTAATTAACTCTTTATAAACCAGTGGGTGTTAAGCCTTATATTTTACAACAGGCACTAACAGATCCAGGATTCAATTTTTTTTTGGGGGGGGGGAGAGCGGGGAGGGGAATTTCAGCCCGATTTTTTTTTATGCATATATTAGGATAATTACTTTGGAAGAAAGAAAGAAACTAACTACCTATATGAAATGGTGTTTAAGTGATTGTTTAAGTCCTATTAATTATACAAACAATAATACTTTTAGAAATAATTGTTTTCATAAAACATGGTTATATTTTACCATTTTGGAGGGGGGTGGAGGCTTCAGTCCCGAAGTCCCCTTCCCCCATAAATCCGCCTGTGACAACAGGTATTATTCTAGTTGGTTGCATGCTCCATTTTATCCATTTATTTTTTTCTACTGAAATTTTAAACGTAGTTTTGCTGATATATTGACAACGTATTTATTTAATAAAATAAATCATTTAATTTATTGTTCACTTGTTATTACATTTCACAGTTTCATGGTCAATTTTATTTACTATTTATTTTTTTGGGAGAGTGAGGAAGAGGAGGTAGAGGTGGAGGGGATTACTGCTCCGATATGCAGTTAGTTGCAAATAGTTTGTGAATATACAGAAAATGTAAATAATCTTGATATCAGGATTGCCCATTCCTCCCAATGTTGATGGTAGATCTCATCTTCATAAAAACAGAGAGCAAGCTAAAGCAGGATTTTTAAAATAATGTCACATACAATGACACTTTTAGTGGTATGTTCTTTTATTTCCTCTTGTTTCCTGGTTTGAAAGTTTTCATTTCAAATATTCATAATCCTGTTGAAATGTGCTCCTCTCAAAAATTCAAGTTCCCGTCAAAATGTGTCCTCAAAAATTTTGACTGCACAACCTGTGCCATGAAATACCGTGTGGGCAACCCTGCTTGACATTATTTATGATTCAATTTGGCTGTTTTCATTTACAAATATTAATAATTTTTAATAATACATGTTTTCTACCTTATGTCTTAATTATAACATTTTTTTTAACCACAATAAATACATGATTGTTTTTTCCCCCAGAGTGCCCAGGTAATGAAAAAGTCCATGAGAAGAAATCATTTAAAATGCGCGTATTTTATATACCTACCATGCCACCATAATAATAATATACAATTAAAAAAACTCATCAAATGTTTTAAAATATTTTATTTAAAATCTACCATATTCTAATGATAAAATTTGAAAAATAAATCCTAAAAATTTCTTTTTAAAATGTCTTTTAAATGTACTTAAATGCACACCGGTTTATATATCAACAACTTCACTACCACTACTTTAAAAAAACAAATAAATTCTTTAATTGTCATATTGAACTCTAAATAGTGTATTCTGAAGAAAAAGAAAAAGAAATCAAGGATTAAGCTCTGAGAAAATTACAAACAATAATGTTTTAGGATTATTTTTTTCTTTATAGCTGAACTTGTAATTAAAATTTTCTTTTTTTCTTTATCAGTTATAGATATAAATAGAATTTAATTTTTAATTTTTTACAGTAAGAAATTTATGTACAGGAAATCTTCAATGAAAGTTTTTATAGAACCTTTATCTAAACTTTTATTTTAAATTCCTGTGTATAAAAGTCAGAGAAACTTTACAAGACAAGAAGACATGAGAAAAGGTGATTTGATGGAGTGTCTGTGGATGCAAGAGATCTCCAACAAAACCGGAACCGGACAGCTGCATCTGCATCACAGCTGACCATGCCTACTGCTGGAGACTTTAGAGGTGCCCAGGCCCAGTGATGGATGGTCGTGTCAGATATGATGATGATGTGTAAAAAAGTAAATATAAAAAATAATTGTACAGGACATAAATCCACTCAAACAAAGGAAGTATAAGAGTCAAGCAATTCAAAATATCTGTGATCTAGTCCACTGACTATTTATAAACTTGTTTCAAACATCAACAGCTATGTGGTTGGCAGACCCAGCCTTGATGAATACAGTACTCTTACTTAATTGGTAAAGAGGACCAATCAGGTAGTTGAGCAAATTTATTATCCAATGTCTTATCATCATCTGTTGAAAAAATATAGAACAAAATTGTGGGGTAAAATATAGCATTAACATAATATTATTCCATTATTAGTGAACTGTAAATAATTTAAAATGTATTTCTTTCTTTATTTTTTAAAGTACTCAAAATGAAAAGTTGTGCTTGCATGCAATAAAAGGAGTTTGAAGCTGTAGACAACATAATTTAAAATGTGTCTTACCTCTCACATTAAAATAATAAATGGAATTACAAATTAATTAAATTTGTTCAATGAACTGATGACAAGTCAAATAAGTCATTGGCATAACCAATTAATCGCAAAATATTCATTAATAAAAAAAATTGGTGTGGTTTTAACACTAAACAACCTTCTCTTAACACTCTACATTCAGTTACAATCAATTCTCAATAAATGAAACAGGTATGATCTAAATATGATTCATATAAAGTTTAAAAAATTTGTAAGTATTTTTTCTTTACCAAGCTAAAAATAAATTTTAAAAGTTTCCATTTTAGACCGTGGTCACTGAGAGTGTTGAGGAACCATCTTAGCTACCAGAAGCCAGAAGTGGTGCAGGCTTAAAACTGGCTTATGCGGGTAAAAATTATTTTGTGGCAGACCCCCAAAGCGATTTTCAACTTGCCCACTCTGGCTAAAATTTGTTGGTTATTTGTAAGATCCTGCCTAGTTATAGAATATAAGAATGTCAAACCAAAGTTTCCACGGAAATATTTAGTTTCAATGAAATAATATAAAATTAAAAATTATGAACTAAAACAATTATTAGACACTAGTTTTTTTCCAATGCTGCGTTAACTTCTATGAATTTATATGTTATATATTTCTTTTTCTAAAATTGTCAGCTTTCCAATGGTATCAAATACATCAAGTAATAGATTATATATTAAAGAAATTATTTAATTTCATTATCAACACATTCAATAAAAATTAAACTAATAATGTTAAAGTAATCACTTTTCACTTTACTGAAACCTGGAATTTAAGTACTAGGCTAAAAATTAATAGCAAAATTAGGAATTCCACAAGTCTTTTGCAAAACTACCAATCATTTATATACATAAGAATGTGTTCGATTCATTTTGAAAAATAATATAGAATTTCACATACTTATTTTTAATGGAGAATGCATTAGGGATGAGTTGGATTGAAAACATAACAAAATTAGGAACAAATATAAAAATGTATTGTTTTAAGGACAAAAATATTTTTTTTAAATAACAGTGCTATTTATAAATCACACAAGTATATACACTTAGTGATAAAGATGTAAAAATCAATAATTTTATAAATACATATTTAATTTTATTTATATAAAAATAAGTTTAAAAATTATCAGCCTTAAAGCAGATAATTAACAACTCACTAACCAATATCTCTGGAAAATACATTAAACAAATATTAGCCTCCTTTTAAAATAAGGAGTTTTACTTTTTAAAATAAGTTTATATGTTAAAAAAAAGATAACTCATATTATTGTTTTACGAATGAGTCCTGTCATGGTCTTATTACATTTGAACAAAATGTGATTGAAATATAAATTACTTTATCTAACAGGTTATTTTTACCAACCTAAAGATAAAATAAACATACCTAACAACTTTTAGTTTTTTTTTTAGACACAGACTTACAGAAACATAACTCTCTTTACAATCAATTATGAAACATAAATCTTAAGTGATCCGTATTAGGTCCCAGTAAAAAAACCTTTAAAACACTTATTCATAAAAATTAATTAATTCAATGATATATAAAAAACTGTACAAAGTCAATAAATAAATAAATAGAAATATTAAATAAATAAATATGAATAAATAAAAAAAATTAATTTAATTTAAAAATGATTTTACTTTATATATATAAAGTAAAATTGAATGATATTGCAAACAAAAAAGAAAGTTTTTAACATTTCTTCTAAAATCACAAGTATTTACACATTCATCGGGATTGATCCCTAACAGACGCAGGATATGTGCCCTTTCCCGACAATCCATGGAATGCTCACAATCATCCTTTTCATTATTTTAAATGATAAAATTTAAAAATACAAGAACGAAATATCTTCAATTCTTAGAAATTTGTATTAATAAGTGACATTAGAATAAAGAAGTTCATTATTATTGTGGCATAGCCTAAACTGCAAAGCATAAAATAAAGTCACATTACATTGAGGTATTTCAGAAACAGGTCGATGAAGAATAAAGTATGAATTTGCATTATAGCAATTATAATGATAAGGTTATTTTAATATTCTTTTCCTTATAATCAATTCATGTTATTCCACTATATTCCAGGTGACGAAGATTGATTATATTTTTATTGACCTGATTATAGGAGTATAATCAAGAACTTTGCTAAATAGATATATTCTAGTTAACAAATTAAGGCTTTAAGAATCGGAAGGGCGCTAAAGCACTTGGAAGCTTCAAAGAAAAATAGTGAATCTGTTATATTTATTTTATCTTTTGTCAATATCATTTATTACACAAATATAGTAGAAATATTTAAATTTTCCTGTATTAATATAGACAATGTATATTTATTATGGTCCCCATAATAATTGAGGTAGAAAAAGGCCCACAAGCAGATTAGACAATTAATTAATATCCGATTACAAACATATATTAAATAATATAAATATGGCAAAATCAGGCCAGTAATAAAAACATTATTGACAATATCCAATGAAAAAAGTCTTTAGACCATAGAGTAAAGTTTTAAAACTAATTTATCAATCTTTGTCTCTTATTTTGCACTCAATTAGCCACATAATAAAATACCTTAGAGCAAGTAATTATGAAGCTAGATTAAGTAAAATTGTCGGCGTTAATATCACAATACATCTCAAGATGCTAAAATTGAAAACTAATTATAAATATGAAATCTTTGGTCAATTGAATGCTCAGAAAATATTTATGAAGTCATTGGCATCCTGTACTTATGCATGTAAGTAGGATAGGGTGCCAAGTAAGTTGGCCTATATCCTGTACTATATGCTGTGCCGTAAGGCATTCCGATCCTATCCATTACAGTATTTTCCACTTCCCATGATTGCTTTTTCTTTTCTTTACTAAATTTGTCATTCAAGCTCATTATAAACTGTCCAACGGATATCAAGGTCATTATCACAGAAAGTCCATAATTCTTAGCTTTAAAAATAGGATCAACGAACATGAGTACTGTTTCAATAAAAGCTTTACACATCATGAATATCTTCATCATATTATCCAATGCATTATCTTTGTCTTTACTATTATTATTATTATTATGTCCAACTTCAGCTGAAAATAGAAAACAATTTATATTAGATCAAATAAGTATTTAATTTTTGATTCTGGTAAAAAATAACTTATTTTTTATGCATGTTTTAAAAAAAATTAAATTTGTTATAATTGTGTTTGTTCAAACTTAAAAGTGTTATGTTATTTTTTTCAAGAACATATGTTGTAAATAGTGTTTAGATATGCACAAACAAGTTACATTGTAATTACTCTTTAGTGTTCTAACAATTCCTTCCAGCTGTAGTACTTTGATCCTAAGCAATCAAAGATTAGATTTGGAATAAGATAATTGAATAAGTAGCAGTTTGTGGATAGTCTATGGGCCTCTACTAAATAAGTACTGATCATGATGTGCATTCAGATTTTTTAAAAAAGTAAATCCTCCAATAATGGGTTCAACCTGAGCTTTAAGGACATAAAACATTTTTTGGTTATTTTCTTTTTTCGAATAACTGCTCATAGCTCCTGTAGATTATCATCACTAGTGGATCCAGGATTTAATTTTGGGGGCTTCAGCCCGAAATCTTTTTTTTTCATAAGAATAACGATAATTACTTTAGAAAAAAAGAAGGAAACTAACTACATATATAAAATGGTGTTTATGTGATTCCTTAAGTCCTTTTAAATGTAATTACACAAACAATAATGCTTTAAGAGATATTTTAAAAAAAATTTTCCCATAAAACGTGATTATATTTTACTATTTTGGGGGGCTTCAGCCCGAAAGCCGCCTCCCCCATAGATCTGCCCGTGATTATCATTAAGATTAATATATTTTATCAAATTCATCCTAGAGAAGGTTTATTGGTTTTAAGTCAAAAGGCTAGCCGACCACTTTAAAGAGAAAATTTCTGTATCCTTGAGGACATATTGCTGGTCACAGTCAATAACGTATCTCTATCCTTTATCATTTATAAATTTAAAATTGTATTTTATATGTTAAAAAATAAGAAACAATATTTTAGATGAAATATGAATATCCGGTTTTCTTCTACCACTGAGGGGAATGCTCCTAGTTTGGATACAATTTTTTTTTTTTTTTTCCAAAATAAATAAAAACTATTCATCCAATCGAAAAAACCATCGATATTAACATTTAGGAGAGTTAAATTCTGTTTAAAATGGGTACCAAAACATAAAAATAACTTTGGTTATTAGGTTACTAAGGAAGCAGAATAGTGTAGTGAATAAGGCAGTGTTCTATTCTCTCAGTTCCGGGTTCATACGTGGCTGTGGAAGATAATTATTTATTTTGTAACATGGACCCAGGGTTGGGAGACCCTCTTGAAGCACATCCATTCTCTATAAATTGAGTAATATTGATTAATTAATTAGTTCAGTAGAAAACCTGATGGTTGAGCATGATCTTGGTCATATCAACTCCTCGCATAACCATTGGCATAGAGGCAGTTCTTCCTTACAAATTACTCATCCCAAGACTCACCAGGGATAGTAATGGTATAGGTTTGCAAATATAAAATAAAAAACCATGAGCAGCAGAGCACTATTATAAAAGTTGTATTTCCTCAGAATTTTGCTTGGAAAAAAGAAGAATTTTATTTCATTAATGCTTGCCCAAGGAAAATAAATATAAGTTTGAAATCAATTGAACTGTTGGATTTCTTTCTGATGTTTTGTTCTTGAACATTTTATGATTGTGTTTCTGAGTTTAATTTATCATGGTGGTGGGACTAAGAGAAAAAGTTAATACACCTGAAGGAACTTTTCTAAAAGAAACTCAATTTACTGAAGAACTTTTGTCTATTATTCAAGCAAGATGTCATGTCCATAAATGAAAGTTTATTACCTATTAAAAAAAAAAATCTAAACAAAATAATTATTATTTGCCAAAAAAATGTCTTAGTTAAATTTAAGAAATATATAATTAGAAATACAATATTTAGTAGTACTTTTTTTTAAATATATATTTTAGAGGTATTCAATAAATAACGATATAAATATGCATTAACATTTTTCTATAGTGATCAATTATACTACTTTAAAGTCCATTGAACATCTTTATATGAAATAATATATTTGATTTAGTTTTTTGAGACTGTCCATCTTCAATATATCTTCTAAGGTAAAAGGAATAGTCCCTCGATTCAACTATAAATTTCTTTAAGAACTTATTTCTAGGTTCAACAAATTATCTCCAGTGAATAAAAAAATGAGGCTGTTACATGCTTCACATACTTTATTAGATTTAATAGTGAAGAAAGCATCTTTTAAGTATACTTTTACGAAATCATTGCTGGCCATTCTGAGACAACTTACTGCTCTTAGTTTGTTCAAATTTAGAGCCTTCAACTGCAGATAGTCTTCTGGACCAATGGTATTAAAGGAGCAGATTATTCTATATCTTGAGTGTGAATTAGTATTTGACACTCTGTAGATATCACTGGATGCGTGATGGTTCCTCATTTTTTCAATAATTTCATCTTTAAACCTCATCAGACCTTGGGAGAAAACATGAGATCTGTTCCTGGAAACCCAGTTCTGCCACAATCATTTTTACTTGGGTAACCCAGTTATAAATTGGATCAGGTTTTTCTCCTGATGTATCTAGAGCTCTAAGCCTATTAAAGCATTGTCTAGGCAATCTATCATCACTCATTAAGCTCAGCTTGGTCCAATAATTAACTTCTTTTTTTAAACAAATCAATGCTTAATGGAGATCTTGCAGTTTCAATGCGAGCCACATAGTTCGGTGTATTTCTTAGCCAATGATTTAAAAATCGAAACTGTGTTCTCTCCAAAACCTCCAGGTATCTTGGTTCCCAGATCTCTGCAGCATAGACCAGAGTAAATGAGACTATCGAGTCAAAGAGGCTGGTTTGACATCAATGTGAATATATGATCGATGCATCCTCTGTCCGATCTGAAACCAGCCTGTTCCTCAGGTATTAATTTTTCTGATTCTTCCCATATCATAATTCTATTCCTCAGGTAAATAACTTTGCTAGAGTGTTAAGCAAGGTTATGCCTCTGTAGTTGTTTGGATCTTTTTTATCATCTTGCTCATACAGAAGAAGCAATTTAGCTTTTGCCCAAATTCCTGGAATTAGTTCAGAATTCAATACATTATTGAATAAATTTAGCAAGTAGTGCTCCCAAGATGGGTTGAGACATTTAACAATTTAATAAGTTATATTATCAGGCCCTGAAGATTTCTTTTTTTTACAGGCACCAATGCTCTGTTGCAGTCCTTCTAATGATATATTGATATTGAGGAGTGGATGAGTAACAGAGAAAAAGTATGTTTCATGTATGCTTTTTTGACCATATATATCCGTGTAATAGCAAAATAAATCAGTTAGATTTCATTATTTTGGCTATGAAATGGTCTCAACATATTCACAGTTGAGAAAAAAGTTAATACACCTGGAGGAACATTTCTAAAAGAAACTCGATTTACTAGAGAACTTTCGTCTATTATTCAATCAAGATGTCATGTCCATTATTGAAAGTTTGTTATTTAAAAAAAAAATACAAAACGTGTCAAAATAATTAATTCTGTCAATCAATTAACTAACTGTATTATAGAAATACTGAATGAAATAAAATTCAAATAGCTAAATAGACACCCCATGTGCGGTAGTGAAAAGTAAACAGAAGAAGGCATTTGGAAGGTTCCGATGGTCTCCGGAAGAAGACATCCTGCAGATGTTTTAAGAGAGGAAACAACCTAATCAGAAAAATGAGCATTATGTGAGGAATCTTTTAGCTCGTTTCCGCAGCATAACTGAGAAGAGGAGGGAGGTAGTGAATGCAGCAGAAGCTGAGTCCAGGATGGTTTTCCTAATAGTCATACTAAAAGTACAGTTGGCAAGAGATATGGGAAAGAAAGATGGATTCCCTCTGAATAAGAATTTGGTGGAGAAAGAAAAGGGCAGAATCTGAGTCAGAAGAATCATCATGCAGTAATAAATGATATAGGAAGTGAGTGCCTTGGCTTGCCAATTACAAGGGTCACGACTAGAGCAAAGTTTTTGGTAGACATGGGTAGCTCAAATACAATAATGAGCAGAAGTAATATAGAGGAGTTGTGTAAAGGAGAGAGGTTACCAGAAATACAGGTATGTAAGTGCAAATGGATCACCTTGGGTGGGCTTTGTAGTGTAGAAAGGGAAGTGAAATTAGATTTGGATAGATGAATGACTGGGAGAGGGAGATTATGGGGGCATAATAGGTTGTGACTTGTCAGGCAAAGTGGGAACGCGGATATACAGAAACAGCAGGCATTGGGTCATATGAATTGGAGGTAAGAGGTATTGATGTAAGAAACTTACAGTACAAAGAAAAGTGAGTATAGGAGCAATCGGACAGGCGGGACCCCGGGCACAGAAGATGAAAACGAAATTTGCAGTTTCTTTTTAAAGATAGAGAGGTGTTGAGTGCAATAGGAAAAACTGTACATGAAATCCCGTTAAAACAAAAGAAGGTGACATATATGAAAGAATGACATTACCCACAGGCTTTGCAGCGGCATATCAGGTAAGAGCTAGAAAGCTTGAAAAATCAGGATATCATACAATAGACTCTTATCGGCAGTCACAAAAATATCTGCATCTAATGAAAAAGCTAAACTTCATTTATTCAAACAAATAAGAAAGAACTTTTGAATACCTGACATGTTCATCATCATTCCACCATTCTTTTCTTTCATTCTACCAACAGCTGATCGCTTAATTGCAGTAGCTAATTCTTTTCCTGTTGATTCATTATTGTCTTCAGTTTTTTCAGCAGAAGCAATACTTTGTAAAGTCAGTGTCAGTACAGTTACCAAAAAGATGGAGAGTATGATAGTTCTCATTTTACTTTGCTGAAACACAGATTAACAATATCAAAATCATGTTTATTTCATGTAGTTTACATTCTTATAATTAAGCTTTCTTAATTCATTATCATGAAAACTTCCTGTTTTTAATTTTTACTTAAATAAAATTTAAAAATCAGCTCATTCCAATAGAGTTAAAGAACACAACAGCATAATCCTAAAAAAAATTGTGAGAAACAAATTTATAAAAATGGTTATTAAAACATGCTGTAGATAAAAGATAAAATAAAATAAAATTAATGAAAAATTTTCAATGTATAGAAATTACTATACCAAAATTAATTATGTTAGAGTAGGAGTATCCATCCCTCCCCCTCCCTCTCTCAAGATATTTTTTTGTTCACCTTTTTATAAAAATAGAGGAAGGAAAAAAAGAATTAGAAAAATCTTAGTTCATACACAATTATATTTTTTGTGTTCTGTTCCATGTTTTCTCCTTGTCTCTCATTCTGAAAGTTTTCATTCTGAAAATCATAACCCCTTTGAAATGTGCCCCCCCCCCAAAAATTCACAAAGTCAAAATGTGCCCCTCTTGATGGCGCAACTTGCACTATAAACCCCCTTTCTGGGCAATCCTGTGTAAGAGAGCTAAAAAAATGTTTGCTTTGAGATCTGTGATCTAAGTCAGTATAGACATGAAAAGTGTTAATTAAGTAACTATTGGTAAACAATTTTGAAGGTATAAGGTAACAAATAAAAGGTATTAAAAACCTATAATTTGAGAAATATTGAAAACAATCCACCTTACAGTCAGCAATAATAAGATGTGTAGCAGTGGATGTAATCCTAAAATATACATTATGAAATGTTGACCATTGCAGTTAAATAAATTGTATGGTTCAATGGTGAATAATTTAAATTATTAAAATATGTGTAATGTTGTCATAGAACAATAAACCAAGTCATTTTATTTACACATTAAATGATAAGAATTGTTCATAATTAGCAATTAAATGTCATAAATTAGTAATCATAATCTGTATATCCTAATATGAAAAAATTGTAATTATTGTATCGTACCCAGGCACAATATTTTTTTGTAATTGATTTTACAACATTGTTATCATAAAACATTTACAGTAGCTCACAGTGAAATTGATACACTCAGGGGGGGGGGGGGGGAACTTAAGTGGTTACAGTAAATTAATAAAATCAGAAAATTTTCAACAGATTTATTTATAATTTCAATTTAAATATGTACAAACTGAATAAAATTAAAATATTCCACTGGGTTTATTTAAAAAAAATCAACATAAAAACTGTAAATTTTACCTCAAAATGATACACCACACTTCTTATTAAGTTTTAAATACTATTAATTTAATTCAATATCTTGTAGGCAAGCCATTGTTTTCTACATCTTCTTTCAGTTTGTTTGTAATGTAGTTGACCAAATTTTTAGTAAATTCTAGGCTTTGCCAGATCCACTCTTTGAGTAGATATTTTTTTAAGTCTTCTTTGATAGAAATTCCGTGTTTCCTAATTTCTAGCTCCAATTTTGCCCACAGGTGTTCTATCAAATTAAGATCTGGTGACTGTAGTGTTTTTATAACTGTGGGGCAGTAGTGAAGTAGCCATTCCTTAACTAATATGACAGAATGTTTGAGTTCATTCATCATAGGTCACCCAGATAAAAACCAAATTTGTTTCTTAGCCCTAGATTTTCAAGATTTTTGTTCAAGTTTCTGCTGAAAATGGCCATGTAAACATGTTAATTCTCTATACCATATGAATATTATCACTATAAATTGAAGATTTCCTACAATAGAAAACGCCATACAACCCCACACCACGAAACAGAACCTAACATAATTAAATAACTAGTATATTAAATAAAAATTACCAGGATGTTTATTAATTGCAATAAATTATTGTTTTCAATGTGATATAAATTTAACTATCTATTTATTCAATTATTTCTATCAATATTGAGGTGAATCATTTCGACTGTGAGCCATTTTACTTAGGTATAACTGAAATCAAAGATATTAAATATTGAGGATTTTAAGTTTTATGATCGTTGTATTACGAGTTTCAACAACAATTTTTGATTAATTTTAATTTTCTGTACAGATTTTGATATATAATAAAATAGATACATTTAAACTGATTATTTTTAATTTAATTCTCGTTTTGGAAGAATTGTCTTTCGATTCTGAACATTTGATCCATTTTTTATAAATTTGTTTTTTAATAAGCAATTTTGAGAGAAGTATGAGTTATTATGAAAATTATTTCTTTATAAATATTCTTTTAGTTAAATTTTCATTTTTTTGTTTGTATGAAAAATGCCTAATTACCTTTAAAAAAAATAATGCCGAATGTTGTTCATAATCATCAGTTTATCTATATTTAATAAATTATCCACTTTTTTTCTTGAGAAAAACTAAGGATGCTAATAATATTCTTACTTAATGTCTCATCTAACAATGTTGCTTTCACATTTTGTCAAATATCAAGTAACTGTTGGACTCATTCAATACTTAATGGACACATACTAAACTTGAGATAAAAAAAACCTATTGTTAAGTGTTTTCAAAAAGAGCATAAGGTCACGTTAGAGAATTCTGACAAAAGTTCGAAATGAGGGAGAAAGGTAAATTCAAATCGTTCATTTGCTCCCAAAATAGGAAACTGATTGCTGCTTGTCTCCTTGGTAATGGTGATTCAGTTTCAGCGCTCCGCCTGCTCCTGATGAACAACAAATTGGAAGGAACTACTGACCCACCGATCTTGAGGATATCAAGTTTCTCACGGTGCTTAAATGGCTTTCTTTTGAACAGCCCTGAAAAATGCCTTCCTAAAAGTTCAGTCAACAGTTTTTGTACTTGTCCAACTAGTCAATGCAACTAGTAAATGTTGAAATACCAAAACTAATGTTACGATGTGTGCAAAAACGTATAATTTGTCTTAATTAGAAATTAATCTTATTCATATTATTATTAATTATAATCATATTCGGTACTTAAGAACGAGGTGGTCTCTGGTAAACCTCCCTTTCTATCTTACGTCACATTATCTTATGTTAAGTCACATAACCTGCCTTTTTATCTAGTGCACTAGCGGATCCAGGATCAAATTTTGGGAGGGGCTTCAGCCCGAAAGCTTTTTTTTATATACATAACGATAATAAATTTGAAAAAAGAAAGAAAGAAACTAACTACCTATATGACATGATGTTTAAGTGATTCTTGTAGTTCTATTAAATGTAATTACACGAACAATAATACTTTAAGAAATAATTTTTAATGTTTTTCTTTAAAACATGGTTAATTTCTACCATTTGTGGGGAGAGGGGGGGCTTCAGCCATAAAGGCCCCCCCGTAAATCCGCCTGTGATCTATTGTAAGCTGTTGCGTGTGCGTTTATTGATTGAACTTTCTCCATTGTGCGTTATTGAAATGGATGTAGTTACATTGTAGGTATTGCCGACTTCAGAAGAAGAGGATATCAAATATTTTCAAGACGCCGGGGTAATTGCGAACTCCATAGAGACCACGTCGTTCACAAGTACCTCATATTCTTTAATAAAAACAAATCAGTCCTTTATTAGTGGAATTACGTTGTTCTTTGTAGCGTTGGTTTGCTACTCGTTGCAGAAAATGACAAAGGATCGAAAAAATTAACTAATTTTTCGTCTCAATTTTTTTTAGATCAATACAAATTTGGGTGAGATGCGGGCACATGACACAACTCTTACTTATCTATTAACTTATTTAAAGGATAAATTAATTCCTGTTGAAGTACGTTTGGCGAAATTATAAAAAAATACAAACGGTGTTATATTTAAAACAGTTACCATATCGCTACTGTTATAACAAAAGAGCGTAACAATTTTAAATGTTTATACTTTTTATGTTATTGGTGACATCTTGTAGTATTCAACTGCTATAAGTAGTCTACTAAATAGTAAAATATAAGCGGGAAATAAAATATGAAATTATACCAATAAATCATGAAGAAATAATAGGTTTATATTCTCTTCTGTAAAAAAGCTCAATTTTTATATACAACCTTTTGCACTAACCGTAGCGATATGCTTCTCTCATATTTCACATCCATTAGCTTATGCGTTTTTCTCCATTATCCTTTATATTCAACAACTTTATATGTAAAGGTGGGTTTATCTATTTCAAAAACTATGGGAAATACTAATGGTTGTTTCCCTTTGCTAGTGTTTCTGTTTCTTGTTTATGATGTTTTCCATCTGATGTTGGTATCAAGAGAAATAAAATAAATAGTTTGGCTTAGCGCTTATGTCGTTGTTAGTTAAGTTTCCCATAGTTTGTACTAAGCTCACCTTAACCTATTATTTTTTTTTAAATGTTTAGCTTTTCAACGTTGCGTTTTACATATATATTACTATTTTTTTTTGCAACCTAAGAAAAAAATTGGCATATTTCATTATTTAGCTGCATATAAATTCAATTAAATTAAAAATTCCAGAAATTTATGTGTAAAGAAAAGTGGAGCAAGCTCAAAAAGCCACACGCATGCTTCATTCTGTCTTGTGGAACAACGTAGTTCTAAAAGAAAACGAGCAAAGGATATACTAAGCCATCGTAGAACCCATCCTGACGTATGCAGCTGAAACCTATACCATGGCATCCTAGCAATATTCAAAGGTACAAGCTGTGGAAATGGACTTTTGGAGGAGATGCCTACGTGTGACAAGGATGGATAGAATTAGGAACGATATCGTTAGGGACGGGATGGAGGCTCCTGTATCCATCAACCTGAGAATTGGACGGGGAAGGCTGATGTGGTATGGCCATATGTACGATCAAGGTCTACACAGCGATGGTATAACCGGATTCTGGATTGGCAACCGCCGGGAAGAAGGAGGCGAGGACGACCCAGTAAAAGATAGATGCATGAAGTGTAACAGGAGATGGTTGGACGGAGTCTTAAGGATGGAGATTGGCTTCACCGCGACCTATGGGGCTCAGCCCTCACATTAAGGCAACCTTCGTTGGAAATCATATAT